TCGCCAACGCAGACATCGAGTCCTCGGTGGGCTCGTCGGTACCTGATGGAGCGTGGCGGGAACCGTCACCGCCACCATTTCATGATCCTTGGAATGATTCGGATTGACACTTGAGTTGCATGTTGGACAAAGATGCGGTTGTGCGTGCTTTGTATGTGAGTTCTCATTGGGTTGTCTTGCTTGGTGCTGTGCATGTCGTCTATATGTGTCCGCCGCTCTCTGTGATAACTTTGAGCAGCTTGTCGGGTTGAAATGTTCAATAGTACGGTGCAGGGTGCAGCACGATGGGTCCTACCTCGCTATTTTGACTATGACATCGTCAATGGACCAGCAGGAACGAGGGTGGAATGGATTCGAATCTATGTGCCGGGTCAGTGGCATCCAGTCGCCCCTGACACCCTGGGACCGGCCCCGGATGACCCGACCGCCTATCGGGAATGGCGCAAGGTCTACCACTTCGAAGTGTACTGGCCCAGGGAAAGCACGGGCGGCACAACTATAGGCACGGATCTGCAACCGGTATCCTACGCCACCTCCTACACTTGGTATTACAGGGACTGGGTCACCAGGGGGTACCAACGCCTAGGTCGTCCACATCCCAGCATAGCGAGGCCAGTTTTCGCTTCGGGTGCACCGGACCTCATGTATGCTGGGATGACCTCCTCTTCGGCATCATCTAATTCACATGATAGCTGATGCCCGTCCTCGCCTCCCTGGAGAGTCTGACTGTGATGTTGGCGCCGCACAGTGCTACAAAAGTGGTCTTTTGCATTTTGATAGTTGATTTGCTTTCACTCGTTGTTGTCTGCACCTATCAACTTGTCTTTCCGTGGTTGCGTTGTCATGCCGTGGCTGGAATGGTGCCCGGACCCTCAACAACCAGATGCCCAGTGGGTCAAGATCTTTCATCCGGGACCATGGACGCCTCAAGAAGAACATGATGCTCCACCTCCTCCGCATACTTTCAGAGAATGGCGGGAGTTCTATGCTCCCAACCAGGACTCAGTCGAAGGGCAAGTCCAAGTCACTACGTGGTACAAGCGTGACTGGGCCACAGAGGGCTATCGGAGAATCGCTGCTCCTCACGCTGGTCATGAATTTGATTCCATGTATCCCTCCGATCACCATAACGTGGCCACGCAGTCTGCGGCATTGAGTATGTCACCGGAGCTGTTAGACGCGATTCTCAGGTCCTCGGATGCGGCTGATTTCTCCACTGAAGAACTGACTCGTCTCCAGGAGGGGATTTCTCAACAACTGACGGCCCGCGCACGTCTGACCTCCCATCCTCATCATCCAGTACGTGCATCGCGTGGCAACACACCATCGGAGACGATTGGGGTCTCCGACCCCTACAGGCCCGTGAATCCGTCCGACAGCGGCCAAGACAAGATGAGGCCCGTCTTCGAGCTGACTGAAGACTAGCCTTGCATGAGCAGCGCAGCGTACAAAATAAGGGTGGCCTCTACACTTGCATGATCTTGCTTTGCTGTTGTTTGAACATGGTTGTGCATGGTGCTTGTTCATCTACCAGCTGGATCGGAGCCTGCGACCATCCTTGCCTCTTGCCTCGACATGGACATCGATGATTCCAAGCAGCATCCATGGCTCGAATATTCGGTCTGGCATGATCAGGAGTGGGTTCGGATATACACTCCGGGACAACCTCAACGATGGCACCGTGGTGACGCCGTACCTGATCTACCTGAAAACTCTTTTCGTGAATGGCAGCGGGTGACGGATCCTGAAGCGCCAGTCCAGGCATGGGACATCCGTGACTGGCAACACCAAGGGTACCAGCGCATTCTGTCTCGGATTGAGTCCTTCGCAACTCAATATTCACATGATCAGACTCTTGGTCAAGGTCGGAACTCCGATGCCGTTCAAGTTGAGGAGACCTTCACCTATGCCACTCCGTTTTCTCATGGTGATCGCCCGGCTGCTTCGCAGATCGCTTCAGTCCTCTATGGCGACACTCGCAATGCTCAACGTTGTGATCTTTCGTTCCCGTCTTCTGAGCGGTTTAGGGCAGTGTCTCGCTCCCCTCGCCGTGGTGGATAGTTTGGTCAACGATAGTGATTTGAGTTTGAGCATGTGATCTTCCTGCAGGAGAAAAGAGAAACCTCGCCCCTCGTAGAGGGGCGTGTGTGTGCGGAGTGACAGAATGCCCTGTCACCACCCTTTCAGATTCGCAGCAGGGGCGTGTGGCACTCTCATCCTACCACACGCAATGAAGCTGTGGGTGAGAGTGGGAAGCAAGGCCTGATAAGCCTTGTGTACCTGCACCTTTTGAGTGATTCTGAAAGTCCTTTTGGCCCTCTTCTTTGCCGCTGTGTGTGCTTCATGTTGAACCCTGTAACGGTTTCGTCTCTAGAGGGATATCACGTGACGGCAAGCCGAACTTTCTTTTACTCGAGACTCATCGGTTGTACTCGAGACTCATCAGTTGTACTCGAAACTCATCAGCAATACCCAAGATCAGCACTCTCCATCTGGAGTCGCATGTGTGTGTGTGTGTGTGTGTGTGTGTGTGTGTGTGTGTGTGTGTGTGTGTTTGTGTGTGTGTTTGTGTGCGTGTGTGTGTGTGTGTGTGTGTGTGTGTGTGTGTGTGTGTGTGTGTGTGTGTGTGTGTGTGTGTGTGTGTGTGTGTGTGTGTGTGTGTGTGTGTGTGTGTTTGTGTGTGTGTTTGTGTGTGTGTGTTTGTGTGTGTGTTTGTGTGTGTTTGTGTGTGTTTGTGTGTGTGTTTGTGTGTGTGTTTGTGTTTGTGTTTGTGTGTGTGTGTTTGTGTGTGTGTGTGTGTGTGTGTTTGTGTTTGTGTTTGTGTGTGTGTGTGTGTTTGTGTTTGTGTTTGTGTGTGTGTGTGTGTGTTTGTGTGTGTGTGTGTGTGTTTGTGTGTGTTTGTGTGTGTTTGTGTGTGTGTGTGTGTGTGTGTTTGTGTGTGTGTTTGTGTGTGTGTTTGTGTGTGTTTATGTTTGTGTGTGTTTGTGTGTGTGTGTGTGTGTGTTTGTGTGTGTGTGTGTGTGTTTGTGTGTGTGTGTGTGTTTGTGTTTGTGTTTGTGTGTGTTTGTGTGTGTTTTTGTGTGTGTTTCTGTGTGTGTTTGTGTGTGTGTTCTTTTTGTGTGTGTGTGTGTTTGTGTTGGAGCCGATTTTTGGTTCCTGCCATGACCGCATCCTACGATCGGTTTTGGCCCAAAGCCGATATCAAACAAAGTGTTTGTTACAGCTCAGGCATTGATGAGGCAAGAAAACGGAGAGTCGCTGGTGTGTGTCGTAGCTCAATCAACTGGAAAACACAACCCTTCCATGCTTATGTGGGCATGACTCTCATCGGGCCCTTTGCTGGACATTTGCTGGACATTTGGCTTCGAAAAAGCGGCCCACCCACTCCGGCCTATTTTCCAAAATTGGGTCTGCCTTTTTGAGGGTCGCCCTTTTGGTTGGCTTTAACGGGACACCAAAAGGACAAATTTCATAGGTCCGGGTCCTACAAAGAGACCACGCAACATGGTTCGAGCCCTGGGTGGGGACTCCAGACGTTTTTTCTTGCCATGTTTTCAAGCAGCAGGACGCCACCCAGGACGGGTGTCTAGGTGTGCGAAAGCTAAAAAATCATGTACCCCCAAGATGCCACAAACTCCAGGGGTGCTGAGAGGAGAGCCAGGGGGTCAAATCCAATTGCAAACAAATCACCAATCAGGGCAAGCCTGTAAAAATCTCCACACGCACCAATGGATAGAAGTCCTGCACCAGTTGGTAGGTGGCTTATCCCATTTATCGGGTTTCATCTAGCTCCAAGCGGTGGCTTCTGTGGATTTCGTCCACCGTCTCACTCCCTGAGTTCATGGACTTCGAACACTTTTTGGGTTGGGACCTATTTGATTGGGACAATCAACCCATGCTTTTCAGGGATCCTTCTTTCTAGAAAACCACCGAAAACCCTGGGAAAAAAACAGCTGGTGTTTGAAAAGAACCATGGTTGAAAATAATGGAGAAGGAATCAACCCCTGGAATCAAACATTTCGTCCACAGTCTCGCTCCCTGAGTTCATGGACTTCAAACACTTTTTGGGTTTGGACCATGTGATTGGTACATCAAACCAGTTCTGGGTGCCGAAGCGGGCGACCCTGGACCCTGACGTTTGGTGACCCAAAAGGCCGGCCGTTGCTCAATCCCTACCTGTGCTTTTTGCCTGAAATTCCAGCTTGCCTTTGCCCGCTGGGAGGACATGATTGGGCTTTTCTCAAAGAACATGTTTTTTTCCACATTATTTTTTTTTTTAAAAAAAATAATAATAATAATAAATGACTACTTGCTGATTTTACATTTTCTCCAGATGAAAAGTTCCTCGTTGCTTGCCCTTCGAAACAGAAAAAGGTGTTTCTCCTTGCCCAAGTCCTCGGGCTGTGAACAAACCGAACACGGGCCGAGCACATGCAAACCCCGGCTTCAAGCAGCTGATACCCCAGCTGACGCGCGCCAAGAACGGCAAGGACTTGTGGTCTGTGGGTAAGTTGGCCTACAAAGTTAGTAACGAGCGAGCTGAATGCTTCTCTTTGTGCCGTTGCGCCGCGCTCTGTGATGGGGGCAGTAGCAAAAATGAGCTGGTTTCGCAGACATGGTTTCAATGCGAAGCATGCTACGGCTGGCAGGCCTGAAAATTGCTGTGCGAAGCATGTTGGAGCATCTTCAAATTGCTGGGGTGCCGTATCCTAATTTTAGGAATGCGGAAGAAGGCGGGCAGTGGGTTGCTTGTGATACCGAGCCCCTTGCAACTGGCTTATGTGCCATTCAGTGTCTCTCAGTCCACCCGGAAAGGGCGTTTTTGGTCGACCGATCCGAGCGCCAATTGTCCGGGGCACCCAGAAAAAGGGAGGGAGCCCCTAAAAACCAGGCGTGTTTTCAACTCGTTTCACGGTGAAAAGCGGGGGTTTCCTCCCAGAAAACGGGGCTTTCCCCTGGATTGTCCGGTTTTTGGGTCGAGTCGAGTCGCTGGATCTGAGGAATGTGGTGTACGCCATAGCCTTCAACAATCCGTTCGGTGACAAGGCGAGGCGATATTTTGTATTTAACCTTTGCCCAGGAAGAACGAGGCGAGAGACAGTTTTCTTCTTTTTTGTTTGGCCAGGAAGAGCGGGGTTTCCGAGCCAGTTTTTATTTTCCCCCCAGGACAAAAACCGGGTTTCCGAGCCAAACCCCCAGGCCATTTTTTGTTTGGGGGGGGAGTCTCCGATGTTTAAGAGGCACACCTTCCTTTCTGGTTGGAGCCAAAGAGCCGGGGCCCTCCTTTTTGGCACCGCAGGTGGCTTTCTCGTTTCAATGGAAACCACCTAGATCCCCAGTTGCCCGTATTTTCCGGCGACTTTTGCCAATCAAACTTCTGATGGGAAGTCCGATGCCCGCGGGCGGTACCAGCCCAGAACCCTCCGTTTAGTTCACAGATCTGGGCAGAGCACAGCCTTCTGGGGAGAAAGGGGTCCAAGCGGCGAAGCGGGGTGAAAAGCTATGTCATAGGGTGAACTGTTTGCGTGTTTTTCTTTGAGGGTACTCTGTTGTTGGTTGTTAAAGGGAAACCAAAAGCGAAACCACTGTTTTTTGGGGTCCGCTATTTTGACACATACCCAACTTGCATATTTCCGGAAATTGGGCGCTACCTTTTTAGGCGGTCAAGGAAAGGGTAGAAAGGCACCGTTAGCAAGCTTTTCGGATAGGCCCTTGATACTGTAACCCTCTAATGTGGGTCCAAGTTTGACCACTTCAATTTTCCCATTTTGAACACCATTTTTGATCCCTTCTCCCTTTTGATCCATTTTGTTGCCGGGAGGCTGCTACACCCAGTGTTTACACAGCATGGGGGGAGGGGTATAGGGCCCAACAAGGTGCAATAGACTGCATTGGGGACCTGTCTCAGACCGGGAGCTCTGCAATTCGGCCGTCAAACATAGCACATGTGGGGTTTCGGAACAACCCTTTGAGGCGTTCCAAGGGTTGAATAGAAAACCACCTTCACACGCTGAAGCCTAGGTTGGTTTCGCATTTGAGACGGTTCCCAAAAAGGGTCCAGAAATGCGCCGCAATCCAAAAAAATGTGACCTTGTCAACAGGACGCTTGTTGAAACACAAAAGCATGACGGCGTCAATTTTCAAAATTTAGTCAGTGGAAGTTTGGGTTGCCACCCCTCGGTCTGCCCAAACCAACCGTAGACTGCCTTTTTTGTTGTTTTCCCCTTGGCGTCGCCTGCGCTGCGCGGTGCCCGGAAGGATTGCGTGACACCGGCAGATGGCAACCAATGCCGGCCAGAGGGCGACAAGACACACAAAACAGCATGCACCAAACTTGTCTGCTATTGGGTTGGATCTTTAGACGTTAACTTGTTGGGAAATGAAGGGTTTTCCACTAATTTACACCCACAAGTTACACTTTGTGTAGAGGGGTCAACAGCAACAATGGCAAAGTATTTGACCAACTCACCCGGCTGTGTCGCGAAACATGCACGCAAGGGCGTCGGATCTCCCCGGCCCCGGCGCCCGCGAAGTGAAGCGCCAATGCTGGCCAACCTGGTGCAACCGGACGAGTTGGCGCAGTGATGTGATTCTGGTTGATGGCGGTGACCCATCCAGGCCGGTTTTCGCAAGTGCCGGCGTGGTATGTGCAGATGACTCCCACAGTGGAGTATGCGATGGTGGCAACTACAACGTTGCCCTCTTCTCACTCACCAACGTCCTCTGCTGTTCATGCAACATGTCAATGACTGAAGGATGTTGCTCTTGCGCTTCAACCTCGCCATGAAGGCATTTTACAGGAGTTCATTCCGTTCAAGCCCTTCTGGCAGCGATCTTGGGCTCGAGTCCTCCAGGCGCCTCCTGCACCACCAAAGAATCACGGTCCGCGGGTTCTAAGTGCCACGGATGTTGTCAGTGACCTCATGCAATTCAAAACCTCCCCCCCTCCGGTGCCCTCAACTTCCTGGGACCAAAAAATAGGCAGCCAGGAGTTTCCAGAGGGGGGCGTAGGAGCTCGCAAATCATCCCATGTCGTCTTGGAGACAGAAGCTCCTTTGTTCCGGTCTCACATGATGAAGCTGCACAGTGCATTTTCAGGTCCTGAAGTAGGACAAGTTTTCTGCTCAAGGTGCTAGGGCTTGCCCCGAGCCTCAACAGGCAAAGATCCGGAGCGACTTTCTGGCAGAATCAGGTTTTCGATCCTAGCTCCCGAAATTCTCTATTTGCCTTGGCTTGCTAGGGCAAATGGAGTGGCAAGTTGGTTCGTTTTGAGCCGCTGAAGCAGTCACATTCTTGATTCTTGATTCTTGATCCTTGATCCACAGCCCGCACACCTACCTCAAGAGAGGTTAAGTGAGGGGGCGCAGTGGGCTGCGCGATACCCCTAGCGGATGCTAGCAGGTCGTTGCAGCGCACTTAACGTCAGTTTCCCTCAGTCACACTGCAACGCCGTGCAGACTCGTCGCATCACGAGTCCGACATACCTAATTCTTGCAGTATCCACCTCAAGACCGCCTGAGGAGTGGAAGAGACAAAACAAGAAGGATTTCAAATTCATCCTGCGTGACACGTGATTGCTAAGGCCAGACCGGAGAAAAACTTGAGTAGTGCCAGAGCAACAAAAAAGCACATGGCTCACATAAACATCCGGCGCGCCGCACAAAGGGCGGGCCACCAAGGTTTCAGAACAGTGAAGGTCCGGTTGCTGCCAGAGCGGGCAGAGCCCTGTGAGTCGAATGAACGCCCATTCTTAAGACTTTGAGCGAGCCCCAGCCTGTCGGGAACCGAGTAGGGCAAAATTCAGAGTATGTGGAGCTCAAGCCCGGCAACACCTTCCCTGCATTCTGAGTAAAACTCCGCTTCGTCGCGTCGCTGGAGAATGGGTACCACCACCTGACATTTGTACCTCTGAAGGAGATTTTTCCTAAGGAAAAGGTCCCAAATCAACTGCAACGCCAAATCAACGCTGGGCTGCTCCCAGATCCACTGCTGAAAGTCTAACTTTTCGCGGGCACACCCTAAACCTCTAAAACCTGAGGGGATGGCTGGAAACCATCGTGGAATGGATTTGTTTGACAGGGACGTGGCTTTCTGCAACGGGTTCAACTGAGATCAGCTTCAAACATCCGAGTGAGCCCAATCTCAGGGAACGTTTGACGCAGCCCCAAGACGTTCGTGATACAATGCTGCGATGGCGCAGAAGCCACGCCGTACGTCAGAAGTTACGTCGCCGTCAAGTCGAAAGCCACTTGCTGAAGCAGCTCCCTTGGCCAATCCCAAAGGCACCAGTTGACGGCTCCCTGCCTTTACAGCATACGCGTTGCCGGGATCCGCCTCTCTCTGTTCAGGGGCTCCGTATGGGCAGGGTTCGTGGAGAACTATTCTTGGGGGCATTCCTCTGATGAATGCCATATGTGTGTCTACTTTTGGGGGTACCCCTTTTTGGTTGGTTTTAGAGGAGGATGGAAACCGACAATTTTGAGGGGTCCCTCCTCCTCTCAAGGCTGCCAGATTCGTCCGATTTCATTTGGTATCCTCTTCTGCAGCAAAGGACCAACCTTACAGCGCCTACTGGCTTCCTGTCGCATTGTTTTTTACCCTCCCACCATGTGCGTGTTGAGAGTCGACCCCCCTTCAAAAAGAAATGGTTGCTTTCCTTTTCTTTTTCCTTTAAAGCCACAAGGAAGGGCTAGCCTCAAAAAAGACCCACCCCCCCAAATCGGGGTCTGCGCACTTCCATGTTAGCTCCCGGCCAGATCATCACCGGCAGCTTTGATAAGACGGCGAGACTTTGGGACGCCAACACCGGCCAGCGGGGCTCCCGGGGGCCGGGTTGCGGAGCAGTCCCCCTCCCACGAGCCTTTTGCATCTATCAAATTGCCGCGACTTATAGCGAGCTCACGGGATTTTTCAAACGAGCTCACCATGATAAGGATCCTTCCTTGGCTTTTTGCAAAGGATAATTCATGGAATATGGGGGTTGATCAAAAGATCCGTGCGACATGGAATGACCGGTTGGAAAGTCACAGAGAAGATTTGATTTCTCAACCACTAAATGGGGAAAGTTACTCATGGTCATTGGGGGCCAGGGAGAATATTGATCAACCCCCATTTGTGAGAGGCTACCTGGAAGTTTAACAGCAACCTCTGTCTGCTGCCATGTTCGGAGGGAGGGTACTTGTTCGGCCAACTCAAAGAGCTTCCCTTTGATAGGGTGGGAGGCAGTTGCCACCTGTGATGCCAAGTGAATCCCCTTCAAAGAGAGAAAGTCGTCATGGGGATGGCCCACTTTTGGTGTCACAGGAAATGGGCGCATGTCATTTTGTACTATGGACACTGTGGCTTGTCTAGGTCCCCCGGTAGTGCCCTTTTACCCCCTTTTTTTGGGGAGGGTTCCCCTACCACAATAGACTATAGCAAAATCTTGGTACCCGTATTCTAACCTCTCTACTGCAGGAGCTAGTTGTAGTTTCCTGGTTTGTAAAGACATGGCAATGGGGGGCCCATCCTTTTGATTGCGCCAAGGGGTTGTTGTCAAAGAATCCTTATTCTGCGCCGGTTGCGGGATATTTTTCCTGCAAGAAACATTCAGCTTCAGACTGGGCGCAAAAAGCGAGCGCCGCCTCTCAGGTTTTTGGCCAACTTGGGGTTCAAGGGCGTGGGATTTGGGGAAGGGTCCAAACCCAGACGAAGCTCCGTTATTTCCACCGAATTGCCTGCTTCACCCGGATTCTCTGAATTTCGGCTGTAATTGTGATGCTCGACATGGCCAAGTTCAAACCAGTTGGATGGACCAATGGATCTCATACTGTGGATGGACGAGATCCATTTCGCACCAGGTGGAAACCATGGGACACCCTTGTGAAACCATCAGAAACCAGGGTTTCTTAGGCGGTGCGAAATGGATTTCGCGTCCACCTATGACCCGAGGGCTCGCTCGAGATCGCTCGCGCCTCGAGGTGCATCCACACGCTGAAGGGCCACCACACGGAGATCGTGTGCGTAGCCTTCAACGTGCAGGCGGAGTGGTGGTTTGTGCCGT